TCATCTGTCAGTTGTGGTGGGAATAGATAGCTTTTTTTTTCGCCGTAGATGCTTTGTTAAATGTCATTACTTCTGAATGAAAAAAAAATAAGAGACTTTTTTGAGAGGGAAAACATGCATGCATATTTATAGAAAATAGCTATTTTACTCTGATTTTTTAAGAAAATAATAAAAATGTTATACTGCAATAAATAATAAATTTAGAGGAAAAAATATGTTATTTGCCATATTTTCACGTTAATTTACCAATATAATAATGTTTATGTACTGAATTTTTTAAACCTAATAAGTAATGTTAGCTAATTTATTTACAAATCAATAAGACATATAATCTTATAATAAATCTTTAATGATATATATATATATATATTTATTTATTTATTTAGCTAAAAACACTTTTGTGTATGGTAGACATTGAAACATGGAATGGTATGCTATATGGCATTTTGTATTTCTAAAACATTCTTCTCCATTTTAATCATCCTTTGAACTCTCAAAACAAATGTCTGTATTTGAATGATTTTCATTATTTAATAAAAGATTTTATCTTCAGAATCAAATTTCTGTGGCTTAGAAAAATGTACTTTAGCATTCTCTTTAATGCCTTCCTAACTATAACACACATCCAAAACATAGCATTAAAAATTCTTGAAAAAGACCATCAAATTCACCCTTACAATGCAGGAAATTGTCTAGTTCTTCTGCTATTTAAATCAAGTAAAACTATCTGATTTTTGAGTGCAGCTCATTTGTAACATTAAAAACCATTGGATTATATCGAAGAAAGAGCCCACTATGTGCATTGAGGCAAAAATCTTACTGACATGTGAGAATCTTTCATTAATATTTGGGCAAAAATTTTTATTGCAAGCTGTTTTCACTTGTGCCCATTGTGATGCGTAATTGGAATGAGAACTGAGATCGTTGATGACCTTCAAAAGATTAATTATTGCTTTAATTGGCATGTAATCATAATGATGAAAAAAGAGTAAAACTTTTAAATTTTGTTTTTTTATGCTGAAGAGCCAAAATGTCATGATACCTATTCAGTAACATGTTGCATGACCTTTGGCCTGCAGAACAAGCTGCAACTAGCCTTGGCTGTACAAGTGAAATTTGTCTTAGGATGATAACTTGAATGATAACTTGATCAAATTCATTTTAAAGTTCTTAGTAGATGACTGAAAACATGTACCAAATGTGACACAAAGTCGAGATATTCCAACATGGTAGTGTTTGAGCTCTGAGCTGCCGCTCCATGGCATTTCAAATTTGCTCTATCAGGTTAAGATCTGGTGAGTTAGGTGGCCAAGACATGGTAGTGAGTTAGGTGGCCTTGTGACATAGGGCATTGTCCTGCTGGAAAATTCCATTTCCAGTTGGGAAAACAGACAGCATGTAAGGATGCAACTCATCTGCACTTATGTTTGGATAGTCAGCAGCTTTCATATCCTGCTCTACCACAACTAAGGGTCCCAGAGTTGCCCATGAGAACATCCCTAAAGGATAATACCACTGCTATCAGCCTGTGTATGACCTGCTGTAGAGGAGGAGAGTAAATGTTCTTCTGGAAGACTGTGTACCCTGATATAACCATCGTGATGAATGAGATATCGTGATTCATCTGACAAGGTTTGTCCACTTGTTTGTGGTCCAGTCTCGATGTTCCACTTGTTTGTGGTCCAGTCTCGATGTTCCCGGGTCCACTATAGGCGTAATTGACAATGATGCTTGGTCAACAGAGGCATACAAGTGGGATATCTGCTACGTAGTCCCATATCCAACAGTGTCACCTGAACTGTGTGTTCCGAAACACTTGCACTTGGACCAGCATTGTATTGGGCTGTCAGCTTAATCACTGTCTGGCGCTGATCTTGTTGTACCAGGAGGGACAGTGTCCAACGTTTTTTTCTTTGGTAATGCATAGATATCCAATACCTTGGTGTATACTGCTGGTTTCACCATCATTTATCCATTATTTAAATTGCGGTTCAGAAGATGCAATTGTAAAATTGTTGTTATTTGTGTCAGGTGATGTAGTGGAAGTGTTCATGTTCACTGTATGTGCAGTCGGAGAATCTAACTGGAAAGAAGACCTGATATCCCTAGATGTCATACACACATAGGAGAAAGAGAGAAATAAAAGAAGTTGTAAGCTCTTAAGTTAAAAGACCCAAAATCTGTTCTGTAGACTTACAACTGGAAATCTCACAAGATCTCTGGTTGTAGCTGACACTACAGCTTGGAGAGAACGGATGAGATTATGCAATGCTTGGGAAAAAGCTGTAAAAGCAAGCAAGTGTACTGGGAACCAATCACAGTGGCAGGCACAGGAGCAGTTGTCCAGTCGTAGCTCAGCAATGAATGACAGCGTTACAGGCAGCGGGAAAATTCTAAGAATTTGCGCACATACAATCATAGCGGTTAACTTGGAAGTGGGAGATGCAGATGATACAACCTTCTCTGACGAAGTCACCAGCTTGAGTGAAATGAATTGTCCGACTGAGAGAGAAATCTAGTGAAGGATTGTTAATAATTCAAGGTCAATGTTATTATATAATCCAATCAGATTCACTTTTGTTACAAATATGCAAATTTTTTTATTTGTTCTTTTGGTACTTATGGAGAAGAGTGCAAGAGTGTGTTCCAAATCCCATGCATGAGATGTTGGATAAAATTTTTCCCATGTAAAAAAATGGTGTGGAACATGTCACATGTCATTGAGACACCATTTTACAGATTGTGACAAAGGCATGCAATTCGTAGAATGGAAGCAGAACAAAATGACACAAGCCTGGAAAGACCTAGAAGTAGCCAAAAGCATCATATCAGAAATCTGGAAATGGTCTGAAAACACTGGTGACATATGCAGACAGTCAGATCAAGGTTACAGACTCTCAGAACAGTTGTTTGTTAACTATTACTTAAAAAATAAATAAATAAAAATAGACAGCCGAAGTCAGACCAAAGGACTCTGCTGCAGCTACAAGAATTTGGCTATCCAGATGTACCATGAATGATAGCTCCGTAAAAGAGGGTTTCCCGATAACTTGGACTGCAAAATGTGCCTGTTGTAGTGGTATAACAATTGTAATTTGAGTACTGTTGACTGGAGCTGAGTTTTGATAAGTGTTATTCTTGGAGAGTGATTCCAAATGTGCTGTGATCTAAAATAAGGAAAACAAATGTAATAAGCCTGAAAACATCCATGAAAGGCATTGATGCAAAAATGGGAGAATTATGAATATGCTTCAATTTGAATGGCCATACTGATCTACACATTTTCCCCAGTGAAATCATGAATGCTGAAATATAAAGAAATAAGGCTTTTGATACTTAAGTTATTTAGGAGGAAAATCAGTAATAACTTTCTCCTAATTGATGATAATGCTTGTCTCCATTGCACTGAACTGATGACCGATTGTCCTGAAAGCAAAGGATTTAAACAGATGAAGTGGCCTGCGTATTGTCTGGATTTAAATCCAATAGAACATGTGTGGGATGCACTAGCAACACTGCAGCCCCTACTTTGCGCTCTTCCCAAGCTTCACGGTGACACTCATCTTTTAAAAATTTTTCCGTGCATTTCTAAAATGTTGTTACCGTAGATGCCACTTAATGTGTTTGTGGTTAAATGTTATCATTTGGATATTGTTGTCCAATTTCCAAAGTCCTACTCCTCTGTATATGAAAACATGGGAGAAACATCATATATTGTGATGAAAAATTCTGTTAATATGATCAGAGTATGTAAAATAGGAAAATTTTTTAGAAGAATTTTTTAAACTGAAGTAAAGTCAGCAAGTAAAAGATAAATTCACCATATAGAGACAAAATAGATTATAAAAGTCCCTAATTGAGGAATTAAATAGCCAGACAGAGACATGCTGTTTTTAATTTCAGTTAACTATTTAAAATTAGATCCAAAACCAACTGTAGTTTGATAGTTTGACATAGTTATTGAATAATTTTATCGATTTTGAGGCTAATCAAGACACAAGTCTTTCTTCTTCAGGATGGGAGGGATTTTATATATATATGTATGTGTGTGTGTGTGTGTGTGTGTACGTGTTACGTGTGAATTGCTTCATAATGAATTGAATGCACACAGAACCAATGATAACTTGATCAAATTCAATTTACCAAAAGAAAAACTTTACAGTTCTGGACCTTTCACAAAAATACCTATACAGATCTTCTCAGTATGACAGAGCATAATCAATAGTTGCCCTTTCAAACTACTAAAAATTTTAAACACAATGCAAAGTGCCTTTGAGCTGATATTTGAATTCTCTGAAGTAGACTCTGAACTAAAAACTGAGAACTGATGCTCTGTCTGGTCTTATATAGGTTTCCCCTGCCTGTGTAGAAATCGTTAGTACCTTCCATTTCTTGAGATTACTGGAAAGCATATATGGTTAAAGTTACCTACAAGGATTGGATATGGTTACGGTTACATATAGGGATCAATTACAGCTATACAAGGACCAGACCAAAATATCACGTTTGGCAATTACTTGCCAATTTGGCGGCAAAAATTAGTCAGAAAACCATCTCCAGTTTGGCAATATCTCGCCAATTTAGTGAGACAGCCATGTACCTCAGTGTTAAATAGACTTGCTCCTGTAACCTTATTTTTCTGAAACAGCTTTGCTTTTTCAAGTGTTTCATGTTTCATTATACGAAAGGTGCTACAATTTCATATATAATTTCAGTAAAATTATTTATATATATGCAAAATTCGTAACAATATATGTATATAGAAACAGTCTTAATCTTCAGATTTTCAAATTTTGATCAGTAAATATCTGCAGACAACTTGGAATGTGATCATTATAATGGTAGTGGTATATATATTCAGATGCCTTTATTTAAAAGTACTTTAGAAATTTGAATGAAATCGGTTTATTTTTCAGATCTAAAAAGCTTAAAATTTTATTTAATACCTGTATCTAGTTTTTGCATTTTTGTTTATGTTATCTTATTCTTATTATTTCTAGCTTGCACATTCCAAAGAAGGATCTGAGGTATTTAAGCATTGTTTTGTATATAATATGTTAAATTTATGCTCTGCTTCAACTCTTACCCCCCCCCCCATGTAAATGTTATGTGTGAGCCTTAACGAATTTTGGTCTGTAAACCATCAATTAAAAGTTCCATTGATTAATTGTATGTCTTTGGATTTATTAGTTATTTGAATTTTTATAATTCCAGAATCCCAACCAGAGGCCAAGACCAGAATGTAAGAAGCATAAAAGAAGTAGGCAGCCTCATACATCAAAAGAAAAATATAGGCAAAATTTGCCAGCAAAAGATATTGATGCTACTAATTATTATCAAGTGCAGTATGGAGGTGCAGTTCCTAGAATTGGTAATCATATTCAACCTGACGCTCAGCCTATACGGCCGAACAGCTTAGAGCTTCATTCTTCATATTTTAATAGGCAACAAGCCCCGTATTCGGATAATAATAAACCTCAATATCCGCCTCCTCCTCCAGCATATACTGAGCATCCAATATCACCTCAACAGCATTATCCACCACCACCTTATGTTGCAGTTACTCCTGAGCGACAAATTACGTCGCCTTCTGGGACTCCTTCTAGGAATATTTATCGTATCAATTCCATGCGCCCATCTCAGCCTCCTCCAGCTCCGCCTCCTTTAAGTTCTTCTAGTTCCAGTGGTTCATCTACACCTACTGTATCTGTTGGTACACCCTCAAGTGGTGCCAGTCGGTATCGGCCACCATTGCAAACAAGAGATAACTTGCCTCCACCTCCGCCACCACCTACATCTGCTGCTACGGAATCCCCTGCCTCACCTGTTACGATAAATAAAAAAGACTCGCCACAAACTGAAGTATCAAATTTAACTCCAACTCATAGTCTTGAAGAAAAGCCAAAACTCATCGAAAACCAGGAGAAGGAGCATATTAGTCCTAAAAGTAGTGCTGAAAGTAGCAGCAGTAGTAGCAAAACAAGTCCTGAAAAAACAATTGAAGAACCTGTGATTGATGAAGTTGATCTTCCACCTCCACCTCCTCTGCCTCAGAGTGTTATAAATGACATACGTGAAAATGGATCTGTATCTACATCACCTGTTACTGCTCAGCCTGAGGCTGAGGTCTGCCATCCCCCTCCACCACCTCCTCCTCCCTTACCACCTCCTTTAGAAGATATAGTCTTGGACATTACGGAAAATGGCAGTATTTCAGAAAATCAAAATGTAGAGGTTGTGTCCATTACATCCGAGTCTGCGAGTGAAACATCCAGTGTTAGTAAACTTAGTGAACATTTTGATGGGAAGTCAAAACTTTCTGGGCATAATGATGGAAGAAGTGATCTTTTAGCAGCTATAAGAGAAGGTAAGATTTTTTTTAATATATATTATCTGGACTGTATTCCTCTAATGAATAATTTTATTCTTCTTTTAAGTATATACAGAAAATCCCGCTAGAAGGCTGAGATGCGTAGGTGTAGCTAATGACGTAACATATACCAGGGTTTGTACGGTCCTTTTAGACTACATTCAGATGGCAGCATAAAGGGCATAGAGGCATAGTCATAAGGTCATAAAATACAGGAGTTCCGTTCACACCTAAGCTGTGGGCAATGAGAAAAGCTAAATTTGCGCATGCGTGGATGTGTCTACACCTTTTGCGCACTGTTTTCCCGCTCGACTGATTTCCCGCGTTCGCTCTGCTTGTTTTCGTTATTTTATGTCATGTTTTTTTCAGCTCGCCACAAAGTTTTACTGGTTCAACAAAATGCTCTTTTATCTGCCCTTCTTATAAGCCAAGAGGCAACAGAATAAAGTAAAGAAAGAAAAAGAACGAAATGTTCTAGAGATATTTTTTTGGGAATACCAATACTTGGTTGGCACATATTTCTGTGCTAAGCAGTATGGAATATTTTTGCATTGCACTTTAGTACTCTCTGCACTATAAACATGCGCATGCATATTTATATATATAAAACCTTCTTCAATTTTTATATGTAATTTCTCTTGGGAGAAATACGATATTCTAAATATGCCTAATTAAAAAAAAATCTTGAGGATAAGGGATAGCTATTTTCCATTTTGCAGGTGTGAAAGCAGTTAAGCGGAAAGTGGTACTTACCATACATTATTATTATTATTAATTTTCAATCAAAAGGAACATGTTTCTGTGCTCAGCATTCCTTATTCACTATTACTGTAGATCCCTACAGTAGTTGGCTGCACTACAGTATCAATTATCACTAGTACTCGTACCCGCAACTGGCCACCATGACCAGCAACCACAACTAAACTTATACAATACTATGAAACATTCACCCAATATAGTATTTTATGATTAAGACACAATAACACGCCGAATAAATACTAATTCAGAAGTCAAACAACAAAAATCAGTGTTATATTTTCAAAATTTTCACATGGTTTTGCAGCTGAGGATGGTGGTTCGGTAAAACCATCGAAACTAGGAAAATTTTTAAAATATAATGCTGATTTTTGTTGTTTGACTTCTGAATTAATAATGTATTTTATGTTCAGTCATTAAATACATTTTTCTGTGTTGCCAGCTGTTTGTATGCATGTATTTCTAATCATTTGCATGTATAAGTCACACCCCTGAATTTCATATGCTTTTTCTGAAAAAAAAAAGGGAGGTTTACATTTGAGAGAATACAGTACAAAGTAAACAATAACTTTCAGGAATTTTTGTGGATAATTCTGCAAACTAGTATGTTTATATCACATGAGTAATTCAAATTAAACTCTGCTGTGCTTTAGATGTAAGTTTCATCCACGTCTATTGTCAGAAGTAATTACTTTTAATGATTTTTTATTTGCTGACAGATTATGACAATTCTTCACTCATTGGCAGACATGCATATTAAAGTACCAAAAAGAGTTTAATTTCAACATATGCTGTCATTTATGTTTTCGACCAATATCTCAAAAGTAATTCACATTGACAAATTTACCCAAGTCTTAGTTTAGGTACCCAAGTCTAAGTTTAGGTACCCAATTTTTCAAATACGACAAAATTATAAACATTCATACCTTATCCAGGAATTTCTATCAGAGAAATGGCATGAATTTAATGGTCAAAATTCCATTCAAATGATATTAATAAAGAGGGGATAATGATAACAAATACTATTCGTAAAATTATAATTTGTGTTATGAATTATGTGCGCCATTCAGTTTCATTAAAAGTAAATTCCTTTCATGGAGAACATAATTAAAAAACAAAACAGAACATCATCAGGAGACAAAACTGTCTAGACTGTTGTTTTAAGGATATTTCACTGCATTTTTTCCTTCTTGGACTTCATAGGAGCATTTTCTCAAAAGATAATTTTTTACTACTTATACAAAGCTTACACCATTGAATTGACTATTGTGACGATTCTTAAATAAGTGAAAATATTTTTTTCTTTTTTTTAAAGTAATATTTTTACTGTCAAAAAAAAAAGAGGGGGGGCAGATTCTTGATATTGATTTGATGTTTTAGTAAAATTAATTCATGAAGTTTGTTTGGAAAGAAAATCAGCATTTGAAGCAAATAGCAATAGTACAATATTTCCAGCTTTTTCAATAAATTTGTTCTTAAATACAAAAGTAATTAAACAGGAAGATAATGATAGTAATAATTTATACATAAATAATAAACAGAAAGAAAGTAATAATAATAATTTACACAGAAAAAAATTTTTTGCAAGCATGCATTTTTTAAAGAATTTTCATAATAAAATGAAAAATAATGGATGGGATCAATCATCTACAGGATCATACACAGCATGCATAATCCTGAGCTTAACTTTTGCTTTACGAGTTTCATCAATATTTTTCAATTTATTCTGCAAACTCATTAAAAAATGCATGTCATCATCGTAGATTTCTTGCAAGATCAACATTATTTCGTTCGGATACAATGTGCTTCATATAAAAAAAAAAAAAAAAGAAAAAGAAAAAGTCACCTTCGACGTGACAGCGAAATTGTCTGCAGAAAGCCACTTCATTTTAGCTTCACTCTGATTGGTCAACGCTTATTCCAAACTCGGCGTAAAGTTGAAAACTTGGAACCTTATGCTGCTTAGCCCTAACCAGATTTTGTGACGTAGCACAGACTGGTTGCCTTGGCAATGGAGCTCAACTTTAACCATTTGTGCCCTTTATGCCCCCGTCTGAACGCAGCCTAAGAGTCCTTAAAAATCCTTAGGTTTTTGGAATCAATTTTTGGTCCTTAAAAGTCCTTAATTTGGCCCAAATCAGCAGAAGGTCCTTAATTTTAATCATCTGAAATTTCTGTGTTTTTACGACTGCCATTTTGGGTGTGTATTAGCATTTTGGAGGAATATTTTTTGGCGATTCACTGACATATATGGCTATCATTTGAATGGGTTCATGGGTTATAATTTGTTTCTATTTCTAATATAAATTATGGGATACTCGAGTTCCTTAGCAAGAAGTGAAACATAAGCATTTCGAAATTCATTTTTTCTAACAACTTTTAAACTTTAGCTCTTAAACAACTTTTCGCTTTTGGGGATGTGAATTCTTTTATTAAACGGCTCTAAATTTGGTGACTTATCAACATGGTGATTTTAAGAAATTTTTAATTCCGAGATCTGGAAATTTTTAATGATTTTTTAAAACATTGTAACATTGATAAATTTCATTAAAATAATGGTAATATATTGAAAAAATAACATTAAAATAAAACATTTTTATTATTCGCTGTCATATTATAAAGTTTCATTTTGGCAACTTATTATGCAGTATTTTGAATCTGAAAATTAAACAAGGTATAGTGCTATAAAGCAAAATTTAGGAAACAGCTTTTGCAAAAGCAAAATTAGCTATGTAATTAATTAAAAAGTCTTCTTATTAATTTTTTCATAGTAAGAGTTTTTCCCCATGTAATTGTTTCAAAATATTCAAAATTCTCAGAATATGAATCAATAGAATTAATTTTACACTTTTTCCCTTTTTTTTTTCCCAAACTATTTCTGGCTTTTTGCTGTTATAGAATTGGTAGGGATAATTTTTCTTTAGGAATTTAGACGTTGTAGCTTGGAAAGTTTAGAAGAATTTGAAGGCAAGATTTATAGACCCATGATTGTAGAGGATTTGAGAAATATGTGACAAAATTTTAAATGTTTCCATGGTATCAACACGTAATGGATGTATTTTACAAAAAGTTTGCAATGAATTTCTTACTTTTGGAGAAACGTCTGGAAGGAATATGAAAACATGAATTTTGAAGTCTTTACTTCTGATACTAGAAGTCTTTTTCTTAACATGTTTATCTTCCCTTTATTTTCTCTGCTTTTCACTAGACACAAGCATGAAAAATATCAAAAATGCGTCTGATCTTCTGATCTGAATGCATCCTCTCAACAACTATTTATTCTAAAAAGACATTGGATTAATCAGAATTTCTTGTATCAGAATAATTGAATATATCTAGACATGTGAGTTTGGCCTTTCCACACAATTATTTTTTAAATGTGTTTGTTATTGACATGCAATTATTTCTAAGTACAAATTTTAATATATTAGGTTAACTCAAAAGTTTCTGTTATGAGTTACCTGCAGCCATTTTATTTAGTGTATTTATATGAAATTGTAACCATATCTGTTAGAAGTTGTGTCATCCATTTGTATACATCTGACTATTCCAGAATATGTTTCTTTTGCACTGAAGAATTAAATTTACTCTTTTGTATACCTTTATGTATTGTTTATAAGAGTTATAAGGTATTTTCTCCCTTCTTTCTTCTTGCCTTCGTGGTGCAATTGAAAGCATACTTGACACGTATTCAGGAGGTCTGGAGTTCGAGTTCCGGCGAGGGCTTTGCACATTTTCCCCCGCCTCCAGCATAAAAAAAAAAAAAAAAACCAAAAATAACTCTACATGCAGCCTAACTAAAAGTGGTGTTTCATTAGTCAATTATTCATATATGTGGCCACTTAAATAAAATAGTTTTTGAATAAGCTTTATGAATTTATCAGTAGGAGAAAAACTAAGACACTTTTTTTTTCAAAGCAAAATATTAGATAACCTATAATTAATTGCATAGTTTTACTAAATTTTTGTCTAGCTATGCAAACATATAAATTCACATATCATTTGTGTATATGATTGTCATATCATATTACAAAGTATGGAATAATCAGCACTTTTGTAAAACAGGATAAATGCAAAACCATCATCTTATTTTGACATAGTAGAAGCCATAGATATATATATATACTGGCCTTATATATATATATATATATATATATACAGTACACTCCGATTATCTGCGAAATTGGGTGGCGGACCGCCGCGGATAACAAAAATCGCGGATAATCCGAAAAAAGCTAAAAACGGGTATAGCAAAACAAAAACGTCATTCCAACTTTGAAAAATCGTTTTATGTACAATAAAACGTAAAATAAACAGCAGGAAATGTTTAACTAACGCTTAATATTTTAGTATATCACTCAAACTAACCTAAAATGCATTTTGTTAATGAAAAGAAAAGTGCTTTGTACTTACGAGAGGCGTCAAGAATACACAGAAAAATTAAAACATATGTACTGTTTTAATACTGTAATGTATTATGTAATTACAAAAGCATAACTGTAAAACTACACCTTTTAGAAGAAATCAGTCATTTGTGTTTGCTTCTTGCTTTGGAACCATTTTCTCTTGATCCGAGATTGCATTTTTCATAGCATAAGTTTCTAGGCCAACTCTGTGCCGTCTTGTTCTTCTAAATAGCTCAGCAGTCCGTCGACTTGTTGCAAAGCCGCTTCTGCATCTGCACACCTTCACTTCGCTGTCCTTCATTCTCAGTCTCTTCCCTTGCTTTCTTCACAATTTTGTCTTCTGTCAAGCATTCGAAGCCAGGTTCATTGACGTCACACTCGAACCACTCGTTAATGTTTTCAGCATCGACGTTCTCACCACCCGGAACTGTTTTCACCATATCGGCAAGAGTTGCCGTGGGCATGTCTACATCTTCATTCTCTTCTTCACAACTCAAAGGGATTAGGTTGTTGTTGGCTTCAACATTAGCCATGAGTTTTCTCCATGATTTTATGAGGGTTGACAGTTTCCCTGAGTCCCATGCAGATGCAATATCGTAGATGCTGTCCAAGATTGTGTAGTGTTTCCAAAACTGTTTCAGATCATAACCTTCTTCAATTTTGGTCATTAGCAGCTTGGTTCGGTATGTTCTCTTCATTGTTGCAATGACTCCTTGGTCCATGGTTTGGATTAGCGCAGTAACGTTTGGGGAAGAAACTTTGCAAAAATTTGTCCATCAGAAGACTTTAGCACGCTTGTTGCTGGGTGAGAAGGTGCGTTGTTGATCAATATCACAGCTTCTTCAGGCAGGTTTTCGATTTAAGATGTTTACGCACTTAAAGAACAAAGATTGTTTCGAACCATCTTGAAAAATGTTTCGGTTCATCCATCCTTTTTTTTGGTTAAAGTAATCAACGGGCAACATTTTTACCCTTGTGCCTTTGAAAGATCTCCTTTTTTTTTTTTTTTTTTTTTTTTTTTTTATTATTTGCTTTCTAATGACAACAAGTCTAAGCTTATGTCCACTGGTAGCGTTATTGCAAGACATGATATTGCAAGACTTTCCTTGCTGCTTTTATGACCGTCGCTTTACTTTCACTTTCAGATACTAAAGTGCGAGTGGGAAGACATTTTCACAAAAGTCCCGATTCGTCGGCATTGTAAATTTGTTCAAAAGATAGCTCTTCTTTTAAAACAAATTCTTCAAATTCATGGTGGAAATCGTAGGCTGCTTGTTGGTCATCACTAAGTTTCTCCCTATGAAGTCCAATTTCTCGAATTCCATGTCACTGCTTAAAACGAGTCAACTAGCCAGATGACGCATCAAAATTTCTTTTCAGGCCTAACAACTCAAAAAAGGTTTTTCCCTCCGTCGCAATGATAGGACTATTTACAGGAGTACCCTCTTTTCAAACTTGAGCTAACCACTCTGTCAATGCCGTGTCCTAGCTCATCAAAGGTCCTAGCTCATCTTCATAGTTTTTCACGTTTTCATCGAAGCACTGTCCGACATTGATGCAAAGTTCACCAGTTTGTCTTTTTGCTTTAGAATGTCACACACTGTTGTTTCCGCGAATCTGTAATCCAATTCCATCTGCTGCCTTGTCGCGCCGTTTGCTACTTTGGAAATTAATTCTAGTTTTTGCGTAATCGTCAACACAACCTTCTTTCATTTTCCTGACATTTTAAATCGGTAACGAAAAACACAAAACCAAAAAGCACAAGCACTGAACACAATAAAAGATAAGAAATTAACTCCGACCGGTTTGCAAACACTATCAGGCTTAAACTAAAAAAAAACTTTGTGCGGCAGGAGCGGATAATCAGCTTGGTGCAGTCAACAGACTGAAGACAACTCTCGGAATATAGAATAGCCATCCTGGGTTGCCACATAAATACTCTTTATAGGGAATCGTGGGTTGCCACATAAATACTCTTTATAGGGAATCGTGGGTTGCCACTTAATTCTTTTGCTGACATATTGCTTTGTCTCATATAATCTTCCGTAACTTTTTGTTAGGGTGTGTATGTCCCAGAAAGTATCTTAAATCATGCTTTTGAATTGTATTTGTATTTGAATATTTATAATGCATTATGTTTCTATCTTCAGGAATTAAACTTCGACGGGTTGAAGACATCAAGCAGAAAGAGGTTGAAAAGGCTGCTCCTCTTCATGATGTAGCTTCTATTCTTGCTCGTAGGGTAGCGATGGAGTTTTCTGACTCAGATTCTCCATCAGGTAGTGAATATGACAGTGACGGCTGGGAAGAGGATTCGGAGCATCCTAAAACGTAACAAATAAACAAACAATAACAAAAAAAAAGTGTTTATAGTAAGTGTGTTTGATAAAATAATGTAGCTTCTTCCACAAAATAATTTAGTATGTTTTTCTCTCCCCTTTTTTTCACTTGCAGATTTTTGTTTTCTCATTTATTATTTCAATCATTTTTATTTTCTTTGATTTTAACAAAATTACTGCGTATGTATTTGCTTCGCTGTATTTCTTGAAATGTTTTTCTTTTAAGAATTTTATCAGTCAATCAGTATATACATAAGCATGTATATACATATGAATGAATTTAACTTCATAATAATTAATCCATGTATATTTGAGCATGAAAAGAGCCCCCCTTTTTTTTGGCTGCTTTGTTTGCTTTTAAGTAATTCATTTGAAAAAAACTTAATTACCTCATTAGAAATAATTTTCAAATTCAAAGGATGAGAATATATAGAATTCAAGGTCATAACTTGTAAGACTCTTCTTACAGGTTTTGTACAGTCCTTAAGAATCCCTAAATTTGGCCAAAATTGGCAGAAGGTCCTTAATTTTAATCATCTGAAATTTCTATCTGTTTTTACTACTGCCATTTTGAGTGTGAATTAGCATTCTAGAGGAATATGTGTGGTGATTCACTGACAAATATGGTTATTTTTTTTAATGGGTTTCGTGGGTTATAATTTCCTATTTCTAATATAGATGGTAGGATACTCGAGTAAAACATAAGCATTTCGAAATTATTTCATTTTTTCTAATGAAGAGCTGTTAAACAAATTTTCACTTTAGGGGATGTGAGTTCTTTTATGAAATGGTTCTAAATTTGCGACTTATCAACATTTTAGCGATGTTAAGTTCAGTTTCTATACAAAATTTTTAATTTCAAGATCTGGGAATTTTTCAATAATTTTTTTAAAAAAAACACTGTACCATTGATGAATTTCTTAAAAACAATAGAAATATATTGAAATTATAGTTAAAAAATAACATAATCCCCCCCTGTCACATTATTAAGTTCCATTTTGACCACTTATACAATATTTTGAATATGAAAAATAAACCAGGTGTAATGCTATAAAACACAATTTATGAAACAGTTCTTAGCAAAAACAAAATAGCTATGTAATTAATTAAAAATGTCTTTTTAATTTTTTCATGGTATGAAGTTTTTGCATGTAATTGTCTCTGAATATTCAGATATCTCAGAATTTGCATGAGTTTTCTCTGTAAAATTAATTCTACACTTTTTCCCTCTGATTTTTTACCCCAAAAAATATTTCTGGCTTTTTGTTGTTATGGAATTGGTAGTGGTAATTTTTTCTTTAGGATTTTAGACATGCACCTTGGAAAGTTTAGAAGAATTTGAAGGCAAGATTTATAGATCCATGATTCTAGAAGATTTGAGAAATATGTGACAAAATTTAAAATGTCTCCATGGTATCAACACGTAATGGATGTATTTTAGAGGAAGTTTGTGATGAATTTCTTACTTTTTGGAGAACGTCTGGAAGAATAATGAAAACATAATATTTGAATGTTTTACTTGTGATACTAGCAGTCTTTTTCTTAACATGTTTATCTTCCCTTTATTTTCTCTACTTTTCACTAGACACAATCATGGAAAATATCAAAAAGGCTTCTAATCATATAACATGGACAGGCGTTATAGTAAGGAACTTTTTTTATTAATAAAGAAATTGAAAATTGACAGTTTAAATGATTCATCTAATATGTCTTAATGCATCATACATAGACATGGCGCTGGGCATTTTCTCATCTGATGCAATCTCTGTGGATCCTAAATTCTGCTGCCTAGTGCCCTTTTAAATTCTGCTTCCAATAAACTGCTCTAAATTCTTAAATTTTTGCTGTTTCTAGATTTTGTTGCTCGGTGTGTCACTAAATTCTAAAACTTCTGCCATACCAGCTTTGTAACCAGCCCTTATCATATATATTTCATATTTCTTCTGAATGTTCAGAAGAAATAAAATTAGCAGCTTTTTCTATACATTCTAAAGGCATTAATTTTTTTTAGAATAACAGAAATCTTTAATTAAATCATAAAATCAAAGGGAAACGTGTTGAAGAAAGAAACTGCATACATACAGAGAAAGAAAATTATTCTTTAAAGATATGTTTGTACATGAAAATTATGCAGTTGTTTATAATTTTAGCCTTTACTATAATATCCCATTTCTATTTTCTCATCAGAATGCAAATCACTTAGATGGTTTTTAAACTGGGGTTTTTGGAGTGTAAGATAGGGTGTGTTGTGGCATCCACTTCCTTGCTGCATTAGTCAGCTCTGATAATTTGTAAATTGTTCGTTCTTGCATTATCGCTGCCGACATTTTATTTTGTTATGATCATAGAGCCAGTTTAAATTAAAATTAAATTATATAGTCTTTGACCATTAGTCCACATTTTTTAGTTTGAATTTGACTTTTTGTGTAATTACATCACCACAAGCTGTAATTGATTTTGTTAGCATAAGGATATGACTTTATGTTCTAAGTCCTTTTTAAATAAGAGGCTTATTTAAACCCTTGTCTGACTTCGTAGTTGCTTTCAGATTATTGCATTTAACTTTTACCAGATCAAGTAAACCCTCATTGGTACATTGTAGAGATGTTGACAAGCTAGGAGATAAAGCACACAGAAAGTAGTGAGAACAATGGTTTGTGCATTGAGACAAATTTCCAATTGTTGGAAAAGATGCTTAAAGAGAAGGAAATTAATATAAATTAGCCAAAATGTCTGGGAAGACTTTAAATAAAAAAGACTCGTAAATGTTTTGTTGAGTGTTGTTGCTACAAAACATAAACATTTTGTAGCTTTAAATGTGTAATTATCCCAATATTGTTTAAGAATCAATGTCATAAATTACATGTATTTTAGACTGTGAAATCTTATTAGATTGTGATTTTAATAAGGCTTTTTTAACAAATATTGTTCAAAAATAAATAAATTTAATAGTGGCCATGTAAATCCATAATGACTAAGGTTATCTCACTACCTAATTTAATTATTTATAACTAACTGCTTATCCTTAAAAATTATGTCTGCATATTAAAGCGAATTATTCCCTTTCATTAATGCTTACTATGGCCACTAGGCAAAGCACAAAAATATAAAAATTAATGTAAAACTTATTCTTTGTATCTAGTGAGACTTAAAATAATACAAACAACTTATCACCTCTGGTGCTTTAGTGGCTTATTGGAACTTTTAAGTTTATTACCTGGGTTACAACTCCTGAAACTGTACATGAAGCTACGACGCTAACTGCATCAGGTAAAGCCCAACTAACTGTCAAAACTTGTCAAGTGTACCTATATCAGATCTTTCAACTTTGCTCTGATCAGCAGGTCTCTCTCTTTAGGCAAGTAGCAGTGGTGACAACAGCCAGTCTTTTGTTATTAATCATGCTGATTATGATTTTACTTCTCATTTTAACAAATGCCGCTTGAAATAAAAATCTACCTGCTATTTACTAAACCTCTAGACTGGGTAAGTATGTGACGAAATAAGACATTAGAAAAAATAATAATAATAACGTAAAGCTTACTGTTAGTAAAACATAAATAAAATGTCACTTATCCTTCTTCCAATTAAGTCCAATTGTTATAAGTATTTAATGCTACTTGATAAATTTCATAAAAATTATTTTATTCTTCAAACTTACTACTAATTATATTAATTAAGTTATGTTTAATAATAATGCATCCTACTTACAGCTCTATTTGTTTTTAGGATGGTATTACAAAAGTTAAGTTCAGGCATAGATAATATTTTTAATTGAATTTATTCAGTTCTCATTTGCTCATAGGTCCTTCATGTTTTTCATTAATAGACCTTAAAAGTACTTATTTTCCATGTGTAGAACTGTGTACGAACTCTATTCTTATTTAACTACTTAGTCTCTTCTGAGACTGTCAAGCAGCTTCTTGCCCTATCTATGAAATAACTGTAGACACAGAAGAAGGTTTAACTAAATCTTTTTATTTAAAATTTTAAACATAACAAGTGCATAGCTTTTAATTTAATCACCACTCATTGCAAGATTTCAGATAACATAAAATGAAAATTTGAATTGAATGGTATTAATGCGTTAATAAAAATGAAAAAAGTGGTCTTTTTTTCTCCCAACTTTTTTTTTAATTTTAACTCATCTCCTTTTAAACTCTTTCATTATTTTAATTCGAAACTGTAGCGAATGTATTTTGTTATATTCGTTCTGAAATTTTTTTTGAATGTAATCTGGTTGTAACGAAAGTTTTCCACCAAAAAATGTTAAGAAAATAAAGTTCAGGGAAAAAAAAAAAAAAAAAACATGAAAGCAAAACTTTAAGTGCGAGTAGTAATTACCACACAAATGTATGATTTTCTGCCAAAGTTTTGGTAATTTTCAAAGCCTTCGGCCCAGAAACGTGTTGGCCACGAGTCCAAAAACAGATCAACCTCATTACGGATATCCATTGCAGAGTGGAAAATAGCACCAGCAAGATATAGCTGCACGTGTAAAAAAGATAAAAGTTCAAAGGAGTGATGTTGAGGCTTATGTGGTGGGTGTGGCAAAAGATCCCATTCGAGTCCATGCAGAGTCCAGCTGATGAATGTAGACACATGTTGTCTTGCATTATCTTGATGAAACATTACCTTTTTGCACTGGAACTACACACCAGTGTCATGCAATTTATGATGTAAATTCGCTTCAGATTAAGAAATACTTTCTTTAAATAATTTATTACAAGTTCTTATTCTTTTTTTTTTTTTTTTTTTCCCTAACTTTTTTCATTTCTTAGCAGCTAATGGTATTATGTAATAAATTAATGTTTAAATCAGTCTACCCCTTTCCCTCTTTTTTTGCACTGGGGAGGAATAGTGTTAAGACTGCATTAAACAACTTTGTAAACCGTTAAGTGATTAACCTCATTAAAGCGTTTGAAAAAAAAAAAGAAGTTTTTAGTAAGTAAAAGAATGTTTCTGAAGTTATTAAGCAGAATTTATAATTTCAAATTTTATTTAATGTGTTTATTTTTACAAAGACAAATTTTTCTTCCTCTGCATTTTAAGGTATTATTTGCTTAGAATATTTTAGAAAATACAGCATGAAATAATTATTTTTATTTATTTATTTATTTATTTATTTTGGCTAAAGAAATTATTGCTTAGCTTTGCAATTAATTGAAATTTTATTAATAAACTAACATATCACAGTGCTGTTTTAATATTTTTCTTTAGTAGATTTCAATAACTAAATAGGGTAAATACATTACATAAATCAATAATCACCATCTCATATAATGGGAAAATGATTGCCTCCACTAGATAAAAAATCTGATATGACAACAAAACTTCCGTGTATGGCCTTTAAGTTATACAGATTTTTTGCTGCACATCATTTAAATTTATTTCTCTGAATTTTCATAAGAGGTATGCTTCTAATTCAATCAATTCAGTTCTGACTTTGTGCAAGGTAAAAATATATAAAAATTCAAAACATCTTTAAAAATTGTAAAATGCAGAAAGATCTAAAACATCAAATACAGTTTTAAATATTTCTTTTAACAATTAAAATTACAGTTTCTGTGGCAAAGTAAGCAATTCAACCTAGTGGGCAGGAGGACAAAATTTTTGATGCACAAAATTGAAAGTTAAATTTGGTTCCACTGGACAAAAAGACACTGAAACTGGTGCACTAGCTGACTTAATTCACTAATCTGCTAATAATTTCAAATGTAAACAAATGGTATCCTCGTTAGACCTAGTACCACTTTTAAATTTTTGTTGATTCTACAATTATAGCATGCAGATTAATTACAGGCATAAAAACCTTAACTCAATCACTTTGAAAGCAAAAAAAAAAAAAAAAATGCACAATTTAACAACATATAAGAATAAAAAATCTTCACTCTCCGAGCCAGGTAACAGAGTGGGAATATAAATATGTATGTACATGGTGATTGCAGCAAAAAAGGGAGGTGCACAACTAGATGTTATAGCAGTCTCTTATACAAAATTTCAACATTCTAAGTTTCTACTCATTTTTTGAATTATGCAAGATACATACATACGTACACACATACAGATATCATGAAAAAATCTCTTCTAAATCCATTTTACAAGCCTTTTTCCAGAAAAGAGTTCTTTATTCTGTCTGTATATACAGATGTCATGCAAAAGCATCATTCAGATGGATATGAGAGTGGTCAGAACGGATGTTTTCATTGAAATATGATACCCAAAATTTTTCGCAATTACAATACTTCCTTTACTTTTTATAAGGAAAGCAAAATTGCCTGGGAACTATAAGTGGTCATCTTAGAGAAGGTTTACTGTATGTGTATGTAGAAGTAGATATGAGGAGTTCAGTGGTATGTTAACTGACAGTTGTCACTGTTATATTTGATTTTTGGTTCTTAATTTCAGGGTCATCTGATTGCTTATTCCAGTTGCACTCACTGATCAAAATAATGCAATGCCAAGACTACTTAATGAGTATTGCACCATCACATTCTCTCTCCTGTATGCTGTGATGTTTTTAAAATGTACGACATCTGTTAGAACAAAGTTTTTTTTCCCCTTCCCAACTCTTTCGGTTGGGAGCTATATTCAGTCAATTACTAGATTAAATTATCGTTATAAAGTTTTGAAGATCTGTTGTGTTATGAAATATATATCTATATATCAAAGTTACCACTTGTAATTATGTTAAATGAAAGTTATCGTAGAAGAAATGTTGAGCTTTTTAGACATTATTGTACATTGTAAGATCTTTCATGATGTTTTCAAAAACGAATTGTATTTGTATCATCAAGCTTTAATTTTATCTGTATGATTTATAATTTTGTTAAATTAGACCTTGAAATTTGGATGCAGTTTATAGTTTATTTATTTAATTTCCTTTATTTAAAAAGATTTTGATTAACCAGTTGCTTTATTTTTTTCCCTGGTTATAATTAGAAAAGTCTTTAGTAGTGTGTAATGTATTTCTGTAGATCAGATAAAAAAAAAAAAAGGAAATGTGAAGCTTTTTGTTTTTATTCTTCAACTAGTATAATACTATATACCTACTGTATGTTACTTTTTAATCCTGTTAAGGTCTAATAAACTGTTTGATGGCAGAAGGTAATGAATAGAAAGTTGAGTTAAATACCATTATTATTTATACTCTTATTTGGTAATATCTTAATTTTTTTAATAGCTCAAGGTAATCACCTCATATTAGGCTGCCAATCTATTGCTTAAAATGTTTGTAATAAGTGATAGTGAAGTGTGAATATTTATGTAATCCATTCCTTTGTTATCTCTTGTAAAGCGTTATCAAAAGTAATCATTGAGGAATAGAATTGTATTGGTGCCATGAAAAGTAACTGAAGATTATTTAAATATTCATATAAAAAATTTTAGAATTTAAAGTTTTGAGGAATTTGTTTAAATCTTAGTATTTACTGTATCATACAGGTTTGGCATCAATTATTTGTGGTATGCAACTCCTTGATTTTCTTCTTTAATAGTAGGGAAAATTTTTTTAACTCATAATCAGGTTTTAGCTGTGAAATACAATATGTAGTGAATATTGATTGATTTTTTTTAATACTCTTCTTATTATGAGGCATCATATATAGATCACAGAAGAACTTCGATTGCTATTTAGGTAATTGTATATATTTTCAGCAGTTACTTGAAGATAAAAGTTTTAAGTGAATATGTTTCTCTTCAAAGCTCTTTTTCCCCAGCTACATAGTTTATAGTAATTGGATACTAATGTTTTAACTTTTCTTTTCTCATTTAATTTGGTTCACTTCCATAGAAATTTTTATAAGCTCTGATCAAAAATTAAAAATCTCTGTACTTACCTAAATTATGAAGAAAATAATTAAGTAATCTTTGAAGGCCATGTGGAAGATGTTTTTCTTGTCCCATTTTCAGCCTTTTGCAAAAAGATTGTTATAAGTTAATTCTGCTGAAACTGAATTAAAAATCTCTGTTTTTGGGTGGAAACTGTCAAATCTGTGGTTTCTTTAATGTTATAAAGGTCATTTATTAATTTGTCCCCTTTTGATAGCATCTCCCCCCTTTTGTGATTATTTTGTCCTAGCAGTTTTCAAGTCTCATTTTTTCTAACAGATCTCAGAGCTTACCTATTACTTTTTTTTAAGTGTTTGATCTACTTATTTATTACAAATAAAAAATCTTTTCTCCTTCTTTTTTTGTTTATATTTTAATTCTTCAAGTTATGAGGAACTGGATTATGTGCTTGGTATTGTACAGATTTTACTTTAACAGTTTTAAATATTATTTCATCTTTTATAATGAATGCATTCTTTTTTTCCATCTTCATTCTTTTTCCTCAAAAAATTATTTATTTATAAATGTGATACTGTTTTTTTTTTTTTTTTTTTTTTTTTTTTTTTCCTTCTGTATTTGTTTATTTTTGTAATATATGATAAGTTGATAAGTTATGACTTATCATGTGTGTTGCTATTGAACTGTTTGAAAATGTTTTAAAGACCAAAATTCCTTTTCCAATGTCAGTTTTTATTATTATTATTATTATTATTATTTTAAATTTAAAATTCAATTGATGTAGAAGAACACAACAGTGAAATATGAAATCATGTAATATAGAAAATCAAATGTTAATGTCAGCTGTTTAAAGTTGTTGCATTGTTATATTGTGGACATAACTGCAACTCCTTTTTGTCTAAACTGTGATAATGTTGAATTTTAGAAATCTGCTATTTGTTCATGAAAATATTGAGAGTTCTGAATATGAGATTTTAATCATTCACGAATAAATCGAAGCTCTATTACATGTTGCATTTTAAAGATTTATTCTCAAAAAAGAAAAATAATAAAAACATTCATCCAGTGCAAGTATATATATGTAGTCTTCTCTTAGTCTATTCTAGAATCTAAAAAATGCCAAATACAATAGGATTGTTCTTATTTTTGCATTTTAAATATTGTATTACATGTAAGAAATTATTATACATTTTCATTTACTTGTAAATCTGCATTTGTAAAAAATATAACATTTATATTGTAAAGGAAACATGCAGCTTCATTGCCAGTTATATAGTGTCTCTTTATATGTTTGCTCCTAAACTTCTGCAAATAAATGTTATGCATTTTATGTTTTCTTATATTAATAAGCATATTATGTTTTAATATATTTATTTTATCATAAAACGTGTTTGAAAATCAAATTTCCTAACAATATTTCAGCTGTTCTTTGCATTGTACAATATATTTGTGAATCATATTTTGTTTTATAGGATTTGAGGTTTTATATTTGCTATTCTTTAATAAAAAAAATTCAGATGTATTTCAATGTTATTCAATGTATAAAATGTATTAATTAAATATTAGCAAACTGTATTTAGTTTCTGTACCTATATTTGTTCTGTTCAATATTTAAAATTTTCAGTAAATGAAGCTTTTTCCTTTTTATGGCTTAAATTAATATGTGTTTAAAATTTAAAATACTTTTTTTTTGTGTATGCTGTTTGCTTTAGTTTTTGTCACTTACGCATCTGCATTTAAACTTTGATACAGAATACATTTTTAATGGAATCTTAACTTAGATGTAATCAGAGTTACTTTGCAGAATATACGTATACATACATACATATACAGTCAAAAGTCGTTAATCCGGACTCGTCGGGACTTCGGCGATTCCGGATTATCGATTTTTCCGGATTATAGATTATCAGTTTAAATCTCGTAAGATGGCATGCAGAAATTCTAAAATTAAAAATATGAAACCGTAATTTATGAAATAAAGAACAATTATGATCTAAAGGGTATCAAAATTTGCAAAAAGAAAAATCTTAATATTTATTTGTTTACTTTATTAAACATTTCTTTCAATGTAAGTTGTTTAAGTTTTGCTTCGTTTCATGTGATAATACTTTCTCTTTAATTCTATTAAACAGACATAATTTCTTGTTCAGTTACAAAGTTCCGCCGTTCAAGTCCTATAATTGCTGTGTCAAGAACACCGACTAATTTGTCAATCGAAATTTTTTTGTTTTCAATAACCTCTGTCACTTTTCTTCGCTATCGGAAGCGAATTATAATGACGAAGAACTTGTTTTAAATCATATCAAAGACGGAGCATATCGAGATGAAATACTACATTTGGTGAGGAATTATAAGCCAAATAAAATAAAAACATCTGCGCTGAAGATAAGGATAGTGCTGACAAATCAACTTCCAATTCATTAGGCGCCCGCCGCCGAGCAGCGTGAAATTGATAAACAGATTTCGGATTTCAAAACATACTTTCGCTTTAGATCCTTTACATATTAACAAATATATATCGGAAATTCTATTTGATATAATCGAAAGTTTATGCTTACTTTTATAAAATTGCTCTTACAGTCTGCAAAAAATAATAAGCCGGATGCAATTCGAAAATTAAGGAACAACGCAATCATCAACATTAACTGAAATAGATAATTAGATAATTTTAGCTTATACGTCCATTATACATAAAATGCGCACGCGAAAACGTATTCTGCACTTGCGCACACTCATATGCGCAGTCGTAAAAGGTCTTACGCGCACGCGTGAACGCGTGTGTCAACGTGGCGCATGCGCAGAAAGTTTTTAGTTTTGATGTCCGTATTATAGATCATTCCGAATTATGGGTGTCCGAATTAACGACTTTTGACTGTATACATATATATATACATACATATATAGCTAAAAACCTTTAAACTGGGAAAATATAATTTCATAGCATTTAATTTTGCATGACTTCTTGAGTTAATTTCACCATTATATTGAGGTCGGCTTTAATCTTTATGACTTAAATGTATTTAAAACTTTGAAATTTCAGAATTAGCAGCTTAGAATTTGGTTGCATGCTTTTGTCAGTGAATTAGTTAGTAACCTGAAACATAGCTGTTAAAATTCTCAAATAGTTTCAATGCCTTTGTTTTAATATGAAATTTATTTGTTTATAAAAATGTATTTAATATGCTTTTATGTATAAAAATGTTTTCATTTTAAAGTTTATCTTATGAGTGTTATTGGTATACTTTAAATATGCTATTTCATTTGCAAAAGGATTTCATATGAGTTTTGTGTCATATGATCTGCAAATTTATCATTTTAGAAGTGAATTATTTTGAATTTGTGATATATTCATAAATTTTTATTTCTACTTAAGTATTTTTCCATATTATTTGAAAATGAAAGTATGGGTATTATTCCACTTAAAATAATTATAATTGTTTAACAGGTGATCTTGTATTTATATAATATTTGATGCTATTGATTTTCATTTTAATTATTTTATTTCTTATGGGAAATGTTACTTTAAAATATATGAGCATTATTCATTGAATCTTTAATGAATACATTTTTATACTTTTAAAAATTAATAGAAATATTAAGTATTTTTACTTTTTGAAATGATCTGATAGTGGCAATAGTTTGTGTTTTAAATGTTGAGGTCTCATTTTAGTGTGTAGGATGTAAGACTCTTTCTATGAATCCCATATACCTTTGGAATACGTTTAGAAATGAACAGAAATATTAAGTATTTTTACTTTTTCAAATGATCTGTTATTGATAATTGTTTGTGTTATGTTGAGGTCTCATTTTAGTGGTAGGATGTAAGACTGTTTCTATGGATCTCGTATACCTTCGGAATCAAATTTAATTAAATATTATTCTGCCAGTTACTGCAAGTTTCCTGTTAGTTAACTGCTGAGTATGCAAAAATATTAATTACTATTTTATTCTCAAATTAATAATAATTAATTTTATTCTGTCATAATAATTAATTTAATTCTGTCAGTCTAATTTCTGTCAAATTATTTATAAACTAAAGCTAACTACTTAACATTCTGTCAGTCTAATAATAATTAATTTTATTCTGTCAGTCTGTTTGTGTGAAGTTAATAATGCTCAAATATGATTTCTTGGGATGTAAGAAAATTTATTTCATTATTCAGAATGGACATACCTTACAATATGTCTTTTCTCTGTATGATTGAATAGGATCAGAACAGCAAGAATAAAATGAAAAAAAGAGGAGGGAAAAACAGGTGTGTTTAAGAACTGCAGCATGATTATTGTAAATTTAAAATTATTTTATTCATATTTAGCTTTAAATTGCAATTCTAGCATGTCAAGTATAAAATATTATTTCTGAGTTTTTTCAATTGACTTCAGTTAAAGTGGGATTTAGAAATGCTATCATGAGTTTTAATTATTTCAGATAACTTTAAACTAACAGGGGGGAAAGATGAGAGAAAGAAAAAAAACTTTTTTGAAAATGAGGGTAGTTTGTTTGCTTAGTTCCAAAATCTGTCACTGTAGATTTATTCAGCCATTTCTAAGGCTGAGCAATACTTTTCCTTGGATAACTAATTAAACAATAAGTTTATGAATATTAGTGCATTGCATATTGGTTTGCAGAACAATATTCTTCATGTTATCAGACTTCTTTTCTTCCCTAAATTTTGATCAAATTATGTATTTCTATATGTACTTTTTACATTTTTTATGATCTTTTTATTAATAGAAAATCAAAGTACTGAAAGTATGGAAATTTTAATATAGGGTGAGTTATTAACAGTATTTATTATTACAGGGTACTATATGGCAAGCAAAAGAAGTCATGGTTTTATAAAACGTGTTTCATGTTTTAAAATTTGAAAATTTTTTGAATAAAATAGTTGAACAAAATTTATTAAAGGAAATTGGATTAGCAATTTATTGTTGACATCATTTGAATTTCATCTTTGAAAGGGTTATTAACTGAGATAACAAGTGATTTAAGATTAAAATTAATCTTTCAGAAGTCATAGCATATACATTTTGGCTTTCTAGGACACTTCGCCTCCTCTATTTAGATGGTTTAATGTATCTAGTTTTGAATCTCTATGAAAACAATACTCAAAATGTTTTTGCATAACTATAAAAAAAATGACATTGCAAAAAATGTGTGTGAAAATATATTTCATTTGAAAAAAAAATTGTAAAACAAAATTGTTTCTTGAAAAGCAAACAAAATATTTTAACTTACGTTAAATAAAGATTAATGGTAACTTTTATGTAAAGCAGTGGTTCTTAACTGTGTGTCCCTTTGCAAATCTGTCACCATTGCTCGAAGATCATTCCCCCTCCTTTCCAAAACTTAATAAATACATATGTATAGATCTATTTAAATTTAGATTATTTTCTAACATGTTTTATAAATTAAATGACAAAGTAGAAAAAGGAAATGTTGGTAAATACCTAAACTTGAATAAAAGTAAAAATAGAAAATAAAAAAAAAAATTATTTATAAACTAAAGCTAACTACTTAACAGCTTAGGCTT